CATTGCCCGCCATCATGGTCTTCAAATTCACCTCTATGCAGATGACACACAGTTGCACATTCCATTTGATCCATCATCTGCTGACAGTGAACTCTCTGCTAAGCATCAGTTAGAGGCATGCATCCTCGATATAAGTGCATGGATGCTTACCAACAAGTTGAGGCTGAATCACAGCAGATCAGAGCTTCTTATAATTGCATCTAAACCCCAGCACGCTCTGATCCAGGACCGGACTGTTACCATTGGTTCAGAGTGCATCACTGCCTCATCCACCGTTTGAAACCTAGGAGTTGTCTTTGATGAGAATTTCTCCATGGATGCTCAAGTTCTGAAGATTTGCCAGTCTGTTAACAGCATATGGAAAGTACTTGGTAACACATCTGCATCCAAACTCATTCATGCCTTTGTTCTTTCTCGGCTGGATATTTGTAACTCTCAACTGATCAACACGAAATCGTACCAGTTAGACAAACTCCAGCATACTCTAAATGCAGCTGCCCGCATCTTATCCAGATCCAATAGATTTGACCACATCTCGCCGGTGCTGCAACATCTCGATTGGTTGCCTGTTCGGGAGCGGATTGAATTCAAAATTCTTCTGTTGACGTGGAAAATTGTACATGTATTGGTTTATGTGACCTCATTTCACCCCAACTTAACCTACATTCATCACACGAGAATCTGCTTGTGATTCCAAGAACAAGGACTGCCTAGGAAGTCGGGCCTTTTCATTGACCGCACCAGTGCTGTGAAACAACCTCCCAAATGATCTCAGAACACTTGACTCAATTGGAACTTATCAAACTTGAAAACTTTTCTGTTCAAGCGTTCTTTTATCTTCTCTTCTTGCGCCTCGGATTAGTTTTCTAGATAGATGGCGCTTTATAAGTGTTTGTTATTACTATTACATGTACGTCGCGTCATCAAGCCACAAGTGTGGACGTAGGAGAGGTATCCACAGTCAGACCATATCCATACTCAACCTCGTTCTCGTTGGAATGATCTTGCAGCACTTGCATACCCTGCAGGTTCCATAATACCTTGACCGATCTTAATTCCGACACGCACGCAGCTCATGTGTGTAGTCAAGGTTGTTAGGAACTCAGCACACCCATAAAAGTGAAACAAAACCTTCGGATGCTAGTTCAGGTCGCTCGGCGGTGTTTTGGTTAATTCCTGGAGATCCAATCCTGCCGGATAAATGAGACTGTTACGCCGGCTTTAAACGCAGGCCAAATTGGCTCGAAGCAGACTTCTTTTTTTTTTTTTTGGCTTTTTCTTTCAGGAAAAAGGGGTGCTTGTAACGAGAAAGATTCATGTATGTGCAATTTTCACAGACCACAAAAGAGTTACCAGGGGTACTAAAAAACTCTTGTGGCTCGACTACTGTACTGTGGCGACATCTGAGAGAATCTTGAGGGGGCAGATTCTATCTACTCCCTGGTTCTTTTAGGGTCAAAGGAACACACACACAATTAACTGCACAATGGTGTTTGCAAGTTGTTAAACCTGACAGTGATTTGGTTCAGGTAATATCCTATGTCCCCTACTGGCTTGAGTGTCTATATTTGTAATCTTGACTACTGCCTTGACGTTACTTTGTGCATGCGTCTGTGACATCAATGTATGGCCTCAACATCATCTTTAATACTTGAAAAGACAACTTACGGTCACTGCAGAAGACAGACTTCTCCTGGATGGACAGCACGTTTCTTCCACTCTCACTACCATCTCTGCTTCTATCCACTTGCCAACAAGTGCCCTAACAATGACAAAAAAAGTCAACTGGACTGGAGAAATAGAAAGGCCTCATCTCTGTCAATTAATAGGAATAATTCCAAAGCCACTTTCATAATTTTAACAAGCACAATAACCCTAACTGTTCAGGGTTGTTTGGCTAGAAATCCTGCCAGACACATCAGTCTGTATCATTCGTCAAAGTAATTTGCTTGCCCAGTGTAACGAAATCCTACGGATCAACTCTCCCCAAGGCCAAACAGCCGAGGAGTTTGTTGTTACTAGCCACCACAAGATCCAACAGTGGCTTTGTTCAATGAGACTAGCTCCCATTGTCTCAACATAACCAGTTTGTTTGGCTGCAGTTGATTGCCCAGTGCATCAAAAGGCGTATTCCCACTGGACTTTTTTGGGGGTTAACTTGCAACGACTTTCCTGTTGAAGTACAAAATTAAATCCAAAGGGAACAAACAGTAAACTGACGTCCCTGTCAACTTACCACGACTGCAATGTAAAACTAACGGGATGAAAAGGTTCATGGAAGCTTTCCGCACAGCCATGGCAAGTTAGCAGCGGGTGCAAGAAGCCCACTGGGAACAGTTCCCATACAACGTAGATTGACCGGGACCTTGCTAAACATACGAACCAGACTACTGCCTACACAGAGAAAAATGGTTGTATGGTTCCCAGCCTCCAGCTCCATGCTCACAGTACAGCAGCAGGCTGCATACACACAGTGAGGCATGCCCAGATAAACATTGTGTACAGGGCTTTTCCAGTACGAGTTCGTCGTCTTTGCGGCAGATTAGGCTGATTTCGTCTGATTTTTATCTTTGTTTTTGTCAGATTTTGCCGATTTCATCATGATTTGTACAGCGCAGGCAACGTAATCAGCTGGTCTTATTGGGCCTAACACAGCGAATAAACATTCCATTATGGTTAAAAAAGTCCATGTGGGAACGCGCGGTAGCTAAATGGACATGAAGGAATGTCGTGGTAAATTTCGGTGAAGAAAACGTCCAATGGGAACACCGCTACAGTGCATTAGGCTTTTACACCTGCTGCAGTATGCTGCATCTGGCCGGGTTAGAGTCAAGGTCAGTGTTTGCAAAGTGATACATGCAGTTTTCACCATTTTTTCAAACTCCTCTTATAAAGGTAGTAGACTACAGGACCTCTTTTAAAGGTAGTAGACTGCAGGACCTCTTTGATTCCACAATCTGACCGTCTTGCTAGGACCTTCATCAATGTTCCAAGAGCTGATATTATGACAATAAGAGGCTTGACCTGTGAAGTATAACCAGCAAATTTAACTAATTCACCCGTTTATACTTAAAAAGTTTCCTTTTACAAGACAAATATTCAGTTTCATGTTGTTATTTTTAAGGAGCGGTGAAAAACCTGTTCAAAGATTGAAAATTGTGGCTTTCATCAGAAAATTTGGAAAGAAAATGATACCCCGAGACATGTTCTCAGCCAGGAAACATTTGTCATCACGACCACAAAGTGTATAACATCCGGCACTGTACAGTCTCTTTAGTTTTTGATTTAGTTCTCTAAGACAACAGAAATTAACAGAGAACCATAAGTTTTTTTATGGCTGCACCAAGCGGCAACTTCAACTTTATTTTAAACAAAGATTTTCAGCTGAAGCAGACACATTATTCAATTTATGCCTGAACTTCCTGACCCTATAGGGGAGGGGAAAGGTTATCTCCCCCTCCCCCACACACAGTGACAACACCTTCCATCGCTTTCCACCCCACGCAGCCCCCCCTCCCCCCTTTCAAAAATTTCTTCCCCTCTTTTTTTCCCTTTTATGGATGGAGGGTGAAGCTATCACAGCTGCATAATTACAATTAAATCAGAAGGGTTAGATCTCCCCGGCACAAAGCCATCTTTGAAATAGTTGTTCGTGGTACCCGCTGCGGCATCTGATTCAAACCATTTTCCGGCCGACACCGACAAGCTCAGTGGTCGAGTGGTTGAGACGTCTGCACTAGTAAGCAGGAGGTCGTGGGTTCGAGTCCCACCCGAGTACGATTGTGGTTTCTTCACAAACCTTCGGGGGCATACACTGAGTATCGCCTACAGTGTTACAATACGCGTCGGGAAGGGCAAAAAATTTTTACAGAAAATGAAGAAAAATTTAGGGTTAGCGGGTGTCAATTACATACACGTGTGCACTAGCACGATGTCCAGACTTACACGTCTCCATTGTCTAGTCATCTCTTACCTGATTGCCAGTTGCCAGGTGTGTACGCAGGTGCGGGGTCCATGTAGCATCAAAGTGCGCCAATGCAATGCAGGCGTATAGGGTGCATTCGATTACAAGGCAGGCCTGAAAAAATACCAAGCTCTCACAATAAGAGAAACTCAAACTAACTCAAGAATCTGCAATGGCAAAGTTGCAGGGCACTGAATCAATAGGGTCTCACACACCAATTCTATGTAAGTGTCAAAACCAACAAAAACGATCAACCCTTAAAAAATAATGACCAAACTGACAAATTAAATAAGACTTGAAAACCATCAACTAAAGTTAAACCAAAAAAGAGCTGGGGGGGGGGCAATGACTGATTGGTTTAAGTTTGGGTTTTCTTCAGGTTGATGCATTTTGTATGAGGGGTCCTAAACTTTTGCAATGACTGTACTGGTATACTACGCTGTACATACTTTTATTGACATGAAAGCTTAAAGGGAGCTACTCTTATGTTAAAAATAGATTCATTGAAATACATGATAGCTGCTGGTTGAACGCACCTGATGTGGTGTGCAGTAATTACTGAACGTTCTCAGATATCACCACAACTGCTGGTGTCTGGAGCTGTACGTGTTCACTGCCAGCGAAGATCTTGAGCAAATCACAGTTGTAACAAAGTTATGATGACAAATAATCACCAACAGGCACAATGGTCAGGAATTCACCATTTGGGCAAATTGAACATGATAAACTACTGGGTGAACTAATCAAAAAGGCAATTGAGAAATACCTGTATGTGGCTGATACTGTTCGCGACCAGGGAGCTTTGTTCCAATGTTTAAGCCTTCCTCTACTTGTTTCTAGTTTGGGAGTAGGGCCACGTATACGGAGGTATAGTCCACTAGCCTGGCCCTAATGAAGTTGAGTCTCTAACGTGCCACTCTTTGATGTTTCCTTGACTTTCCTCATGCATCACTGCCAAACCTCTTTGCTGAAAAAAATTCATTCAGCTACAGTAAATAATAATATTATAACCTTTAAAATACAATGTACATGAACAATTTTGGAAATTTAAAAACCTGAAATTCAAAAACGACAGCATCCATAAATTGGCACAAGTTCAGCTGACTATTCTTTGTTTGTGGCACACTTGCAAAAATCTCTGAAAATCTCACGTAATTATGTTCTTCACGACTGATAAATTCCAGTAAATACCCCTAAATATGCATACATGTACAAACTTATTATCAGAAAAGTGGGCGTAACATTGTTACTTTCTTCACTGTGGGTACATTTTCAGTGTTCATTTTGCACTTCGGGAAAAAAAAAAAAACAATTGAAATCAGGTCAACAGACCTACAAAGCATGTGATTGATGTAACTGCAAAGGCTTTGGAATTCAGCACACAGTGACAGTAGCAAGTGTGTGAACTCAACATTTTTGTCATGTATGATGCAGGCCTACGTAGGCCTACATGATCATGGATGGAGGCCTATTGACAGGTAGACCCGTAAACAGTGCCCCACGTATACTCCTCTGTCATATACTGGGGGCCCTGTCCCGATTCATGGGGATTTCTTTTGAAAAACTTTATCCGGGATATCCGGGGGCATAACTAAACATCCGCTTGATTTTATGAGCTGAAATTGCACCACTATGTTCACTACTTACGGTGTAAACCAACCCCATAGGTTGCCAATTGCAGAAAACTCGCCTTTTCCTCATTTGGAGGGAAAAAAAGTTGCCTTTTTGTTGCAGTTTTCCCACTCCGGACGAATTTTGCCCCACTTGCACAAACCTGACGGCTGTTTCATCACTTTCATGTTACATCACAGACTGCAAGCCATGTTACCAATGATGATTTGCTGCAAGCGGTGTGTGACTGGACAGGGAACCAGCCAAGGGCATTGTGTATGAGCTGCACTGTACGTGTAAATATAGTGTACATGCAATGTTAGAATTCTGGAAATACTTACATGCCAAAGTTTGACAGTCTGGCAAGAAAAACTGGGAGATTGCCTTCTCATCTGTGGTAATTAATGACGCATCCCGGTGCCTGGCCTTCCCAAATTACAAGGCCTGGCATCTCATGCACATGTCAGTAAATCTACATGAACAGTACATGCAGTTTTAGAATTCTGGAAACACATGTCGAAACTAGCTTGGAAGATTTTTATTCATGCTGCAGCCACGTGCCTGCCTTCTAGAGTTGACTAGACCGAGTTGACTTGGGACCAAGTTGACCTGAGACGGAGTTGACTCGGAGCGGGTTGATTCCAGACCAAGTTGACAACTTCACACTGATGAGTATACAGTGTGTTTACATGGCCGCCATGTTTCGCCGGACCATATCCAAATCCTTAAAAAGGCAACTGGTAGAGTCCGAGTTGCTCAGAGACAGACTATTATTAACTGATCTACATGTACATCATCCTGATGCAGTCGCGTCAAATGCCATTTCAAAAATACAAATATGCGCAGCATGCCAAATTGATGTTGGGCTAGCAATCTGCAAGATGTGTGCAAAGGCTAAGTGGGCATAGGCTGTAGGCCTACTAAAGTTACTCTTGTTATTTTCACAGAAATGGGCCATGTACCGGTACATACATGTACCGCAGGCATGCCTAGTGTTGATCCTAGTCCTACTCTGAGTCCTAGGATTAGTCTCAACATGCTCTTTTCCTTTCTCCATGGTCTCAAGGACACGAGGCCTATGAATTTAAGTATAAGTGTGGAATAATAAAAGCCAAATACATGGTACTTACGACGTAGGTGTGCCAGCGATTCCTCAGAGACTAATTTCTTACAAGTTACATGTACGTAGGCCTACGTGTTGTCTTGACGATACACAAAGTCGCGAAAATAAAGGGTTCATGCATTACCTTTCACACCCTGTTCCTAGTATTAGAAGGGAACAAATTCTACTTTTTCAAAGTAACTTATCAAAACAAGTTGTTGGTGATGTCCTCCGATCTTACATATCAGAAAGAAACGAGAACAGGGCGTTTGGTTTTTCAGAGAAATGTTGGGGTAAAACGGCAGCGTATATGACCGCCCCGAAGGTAGCTGTGAACGACAAATAAAAACAAATAAGTGAATGTAGTCTGGTGCCTTGACCTGGATGGAAATTTTTTTGATGTATCCAAAAGCCTGAGTTGGGTAACCGGACGAAAAACAAAATGGCGTGATTCGACTGAGTGGTTTCTTTTGCCAAACTCGGGTTAGAAATATGAAGTTTTCTTGCTTAAATAGTGTAAACATTTACCTAAACTACGCCTATCAGGATTGAGTAATGGTTCCTTAAGGTCAAAATGTTAGTTTGTTTGACAAAGTGGACTTAGTTTCCTTATTATAGGAACAGGGTGCTAATGCCATAATGAACCCCAAGATAAACACTAAAACAGACAAAAATGACCACCACGTACCTCCAGAATTTTGAGGTCTGACTTCCGCTCCTCTCCCTCGGAGCAGACGTCGGCCCCCACAGTTCTGGGGGGACACCATGTGCTCAGTAGTACTACCGCCACTCTGTGTGTGCCACGTGCACCGCACCTATGTGTTGTTTGCAGTGTGTCTGGCGCGTAGTCCGTGTTCAAATGGTTTTCGACGCAGCATGAGTTTCGCGTAATGACGTCATGCACAGAGCGTCTGGCTTATATGGGTGTTTACGAAACGAGTGGCTTAGGGCGCTCGGTTGGTCTTCGCTGGTTCCAGCCATTTGAGGGGACTCCGACCATGTTGACTGGAACCAGTAATACCAAAGGCTTTGACGAAGCCTTTCATTTCGAAAACGCCATAGCCTACCACTTGCGTTTGCGTGTCACGGGAATCCCACACTGCACACAGAAATATTCAGCATCCAAATTGCCAGGGCTAATCGCACATTAAATCGTAGCTAGCTACCAGTCCCTATATAATAGGAACGGCATGACCAATCCAGCCATACATCACGCATACCAGGAGCTCAGTGAAATCAGTAGCTAGTATGATTGAGCACATAAAACGTTTTAATGTTGGCGTGACGTCAGTGCCACACTGTGCCTGCTGATTTGGCGGGAAACCTATCTGGAAAATACTTGGGGAAAAACACAACTAAAAAAAATCGGGACGAGTGCTGATGTTAACGTAAACATTTCAAATGACCTAAAAACTTATGAAACAAACTATACACAAGGAAACTGACTAGGTGCTTACAAAAGTCCATTATAAAAATGAACAAAGAAATTGACTTGAGTGGGATATGAACCTTCCACCTGTGGAATACCGTACCGGTGTTCAACTGTCTGAGCTGTTCATCCCTACGTTCACAGCCCTTCCCACCTGTCACGCTTTGTTAAGAAACTCTTCATTAACAGGCGGCATAGCCTACGTTCCATTCTGCTGAGATTTTAAATTTGGATTGTTTCCACTGTGCTTTGTTTTATCGTTATCCCTTTGAGGGAATTTGATTTATAGCAGTGCTACATAAAATACTATATTATATTGTCATTAATTCCAGGACTGTGGTGTCGGGAACAACCAATAGCCTACAAAGTGATTTCAAGCAGTCAAGAGACGTGCAACATCAATAATGGAAGACAGGAGAGACAGACGTGTCGCAGTCAAGAAACGTCACGATGCAGGGGTCCCCCAAAATCTGGATGCTGGTTATCAGAGAGAAAATATGGTATATATGCACGAGAGGCAATCCCGAGGCGGCACAATAGAGAGGAGAGTATGGCAGATTATCCGATCCTATAGGCATGCTGGAGATGGTAACAGAGATAAATGCATGTCATGCCTATGTGCTGCCTGTGTCTTTCTTTTCTTCCTGGTGGCAGCGTTACTACTGATGCAGTGGATGTGGGGATGAGTGCTAACTTGGCGATACTTCGACACTCCAGGGAAGAACGGAAGTGGTCTCCCCCTGAGATATTATTTTGGATTTCAGAAATTACTGTAAAACGAATAGGGAATACAAACAATTCGGTGTAAGAATCGATTGGGACTTTTTAAAAAGATTTCCTGAGAAAACGACCCCTGAGAATATCTTTTTCTTCATTACTGTCGCCACCTCCAGTGCTTTGTCACGGCGTTATACAGAAAGATAGTAAACTGGAGGCCATCTTTGTCGACCAAAAAAAAGGGGGAAAAAAGCAAGAATATTCTGTTTATTTCTGTTACTCATGAGTAGATATTGTACACCAGTTGGCTTTTAGGTAGTTTGGTTTCACAACGTTTCCTCATTGTGGAATAAGGTGTTGTACAATTGCATGGCAATAAGATAATAGCGTGTAGTTCGAGTCAAACAAATTACTATCATGGCTGATTAATTGGAGTACATTTGACAGTAAGAACAAGGAAATAAATGAATATAAATTACATTGAGTTAATTTTAAAATGTAGAAAAACATTAACTATCCAAGTAAATTAATCACGAAATGTACGACTTCCGCTGTCCAACTCTATAAAAGTTTTAGGATAATCAGCTGTCTGTACCATAGACATAAATAACCTATTATTATTTATGTCTGTGGTCTGCACGATGGTAAAAAATGTAAAACGCGCTCTGACGTTTGAAAAAGGTCAGTTTTTTTGCGAAACTTTTTTTTGCTGGGTTGTCTTTTGGCTTGGGGATTATTGTTTTTGCCGCCGATTTGCATTTATGCCGGTTATACAATTCTGCAGGTAATATAATTTTGTCGAATTAGTATTTTGCTGGGTTGTATTATTCTGCGGGGTTGTATTATTTTTCGGGGTTAAACATTTCTGTGGAGTTATCTTCTTTTGGGGAATGGTATAATTTGGGGGAATTTAATTTTTGCTGGGTAGGCCCATATAAATGTGTGTGGGGTTAATTTCGAGGAATTGACTATTTTGGTGGAGTTGTGTAATTTCGCTGGGTTACATAATAGTGTGTGGTTATATCATTTCGCGGGGCAAGTTGTATAATTTGCGGTAGATGTAACTAAATTCATGCATTTCGTATTAATCTTATGTTTGTGCATTTGCCTTTTTTGCCCTGATGGCCGCCCATAAGAGCTAGCTGGGTCGAGGCAATATCAACCAAACACACATGCTGGTACGATATCAACACGGCAACCTCTTTGTTGACAAGCATAGTAAAGACGAATTTTTAATTTTAACTTGGGGCATTTTACAATCGACTGAAGATCATGCAACAAACATCCATTTCAATGCCTGTAAGTTTCTGTGACTAGTCTTATATCGTCTCCCCTGAAATGTATTTTTTATTATTTGTGCTTAATTATGGGTGAAAATTGAAGCAGAAGTTGCATTCATTTTCTTGTAGTTGATAGTGAAATTGGCAAATTGTGTCGACTGTAAAAAAAAAATCAAAATGCCATCGAACTGTGCGAAATTAAGAATTTCAAATGTTTTCTTTATTTAAAGTATTTCTTTTCTTGGTTTTTTGGTTGCTTTGCAAGCTTGCTTTTTTAATGTTTGGTATTCCGTTAAAGATTGGATTTTGTAAATTGCCGCAAGAATTTCTTATTTGCTGATCTGCCATTTATTCAGACCTTATAACTTGTATGCGGAATATCAAAACTTTCGACTGCTAAATAGAGTTTAGTTTTACAATGAATAAGATTCTGTTAACCTCGGTCATTTGAATTAATTAAATGCAGGGCTAACCCTTGCAAATTTATTCAATTTTGTTCCAAAATTCTGAGTGTTGAATTTACTTCACACTTGCATAAATGACCGTCCTTGCGATACATGCTGAGTCATCTATTTGCAACTTGGTGGAATTTTATGAAAAGCAGATTTTAAAAAAATGATAATAATTAAAATTGAAGGCTTACCCCTTGTACATTAATTTAATTTTGTTTTCAAAAATTGGAGTACTGAATTCGCTTGAAACTTCCATGAAACCTTTTATTGGTCGTTTGAATGCCGCTTTCTAAGTATTTCGGAGGTATTTGATGAAAGTGAAATTTTTGTGAAGATTTTATTAAAATGCAAGGCTAACCCCTTTCAAATTTGTTTAATTTTGTCCAAAAGCTTGAGTGTTGACCTTAATGTAGACTTGCATGAAAGACGTCTATTAGTCCTTGGAATTCATGCTAACTCATTTACAAGCAATTCGGAAGAACTGGATTTGAAAAGACACAATTTCCTGAAACCTGAAAATGCCAGATTAACCCCTTGGGAATTTATTTATTTTTTGTCTTACATTTTGAGTGTTAAATTTACTTCAGACTTACATAAAACACGTCTGTTAGTCCTTGGAATGCATGCGGAGTCACCTACAATCATTTTAGAACAATTTGCAAGAAAAAGTCAAAATTTTGCAATTTTAGCCTTGGCCCAAAATTTCGAGTGCCGAATTCCCCTTGAGTTCGCCTAAAACTCATCTCTCAGCAGTGTGAATGTATTCCGAGCCATCTCCAAGCCATGGACGGATTTGAAAAAAACTCAGGAATTAATGAAAATGTAATTAAAATGGAAGGCTAGCCCCTTGCAAATTTACTTAAGACCTGCGTGTAAAGACATCTCTTAGTCCTTGCAATATGCGTTCTACAGGTACTTCAGAGTCTGAAGAACAGTCCAAATTTTGTGAAATTTCATTAAAATGCAAGGATAACCCCCTAAAAATTTATTTAATTTGGGTTGAAAATTAGGGGTGCTAGATTAGGACGTATGCAGATAGACCATAGTTCTTGTTACTTAACTCTTCTTGAAATCTTCAATAAATGCATGCCTGTTTTGATCGTCTTCGGAAGCATTTGCCTGACATTTCTTTCTCCACTTTAGACATGGTATGCTGACCCAGTACCACAATATGGTGAACTGAACCTGCTTGCCCTGAAGAAGGTACTCAGTTACCAAAAGCTCGGCAATTACATGTTTCAGAGCACTGATTTTATATTATATTCTTGTCAATACCATAAAAATGGTTCCCGGCGCGAGCAATTATAAAAGCGCCATTTCAGCATCAGCAGAACCAGTGTAACCACGGCGCATGCCGTACGCCATTTCTAAGTGCCCTGCGCCCCGCAACAACATAAGATTGTGCCCTGCCTTGAAGGAACTGAAACTTTATATCTTATACAGCGGGAACGTTTGCTTTGATCAGGATCATTCTTCCTGAAAGACGTGAAGTTATAATTTTCGACAACTTCATACTAATGTAAACTCATTTCTCTTAAAATGCCCCCAAATTGATGCAGAATTAGAATCAGACACTATATGGGTAATTTCATATTTTTTTTTCAAGTCCCATAGGATTTATTCCTGGTAACCTAAACATTTTAGCCCCCAAGCCCGATGTACCCTTTTACGGGTCAGATAAAACGAAGTTTCTGCATGCGTTCCACCTCTACGGTGGTACCATGGTAATCCATAGCTTTTCACCGAAAGCGTTCCTCGTATATGTAAGGCCGTGTCCGAAACGGGCTTCCAGAGCTACGGCTAGGTCTATTGTGTATGCGTCTCCACGCATTTCCAATGGAGTGAAGACCTAAACCTAGCTCTAGACGAGAGATTCGGATGCAGCCTCAGAGTTAAGTGTCCTTTTCGTCTGAAGCCTTTATGGCTAATGCACATTCACAAGAATATAACATATAATCAGTGCTCTGAACTCTTACATATTTCAGAGCGCTGATTTTATATTATATTCTTGTCAATATTCTGATCTCGGTGCTACGCAGCCCTTCCATAATTTCATGGCCACAGCATGCCTTTTTCGAATTGTTTACAAGGAACCCAGTTTTAGATCCGAATCAGCCATCTTTTCTCGGTAGTATTTGTCAAAGGTCTCGTTCTGAGCAACAGTGAAAGTGTTCTTCCAGTCTCCAACAATGCCTGCAATGTGATGTAAAATATAGGCACGTGTTAATAATTATCATAATGCGTAAACCACGTTTCAGCAAGTGATGCAACGCTATTTTGGTATCAACCTTTTCGCATGAGGTTGGGCGCGCCAACTTTGCCTTTCATCCCTGTTCCTGGCGCTGCCAGCTCTCCAGCAACGTTGTACCGCTCCTTCATGCTCTTGACGGTCACCAGGCCGACAATCTTGTCGATCACCTCGTCTGACAGGACGCGGCCTAAGAAGTCGGCGATCTGAATAACAGCCCCTCGCGTGTCCTGTAGAAATCATCCAGAAAACTTGCGTGGGTTGACGCAATGAACGCCAGTAAAGAACCCGCCCCAATCTAAGTATGCACTGAACATGTAACACGCAAAATGGCAGACCTACCGCCTTCATGTCCTCGTACTTCAGAAGCAGGTACTGCTGGCTGCGACGCTCAGACCAATACTCGGCCACGTGATCGAACCAAGGCGTGAATTCCACTAAATTAATGTTACAGAAAAAGAGACAATGTCTGTCGTCAATTCTGACGTTCAACTAATGAACCTCTGTCTCTCCACGTTATGGAATAACATTTTGGACTGAAAAAAGGTGAAAAGATCTCACCTACCTTTTCCTGAATACAGATACTTCTGCAGGTACTCTTCGAACGTCAGAGTGGATTCCGGGTCCCATCCTTTAACAAAGTAGTAATCGGAAACCAGCGAATCCTTGAGATTTCGGATGACAGTGATCACCTTAGTCAGAAAGACAATACTTCCATTTTATCAAGCGGCGTCTCCAGGGTCAGAGGGCGGTCTCCAGGGGCAGGGGGCGGTCTCCTGGGTCAGGGGCGGTCCCCCCGCGACATTCTCTTTGCTTTCTGAATATGACCTGAATACGTCACTGTGCAGCCTGTATACTCAACGAGTTTAGCAACTGCCTCTCTTGCAAAATTAAACATGTGAGAGTGGGCGGTTCTCTGTAAAATTCCAATGTCGTGTGTATGTGAGTTTGTTTCTGCATTCAAT